TGTAGCTTTTTTTTCCCAAAAACTTTGTCTTCAAAATGAGGGTGCGTCTTATATTCTGAAAAATACGGCAATTCTTAATATCTTTTTACAGCAAAAAAAAACAAAACAGTATGAACAACACCTCTAACAGCAAGTTTCATATTTGTGGTCATGAATTTATGTAACATCATGAACCAACAGTTGTGGTATTAAGATAAGATCTAAACCATTTGTGTTAGGTCATGTTAAAAATGATTGCTAGTCAAACATATTTATCATTATGCTGAAAATAATATAACTGATATTCAATTTTTGTATACTTTCAGGCTATTAATCAGGCTCAAAGAAAAGGATTGGCTATTGAAACTACAAAAAAATGTGAGTATCGGTATGTTCGTCAATGTAGTTCATTGTTGTTGTTTTTCAAGATGCTATATTTAAGTAGCCCTGAAAAGGAAGAGTGAAAATATCATGGTTGATTTTGTGTATCTTGACTTTCTGATAACACTGGTCAACAAATTTAAACTTTTTTTGTTTTTTATTGCAAGAAGGTATATTTTTTATAAAATCAACATACTGATTACAATGAGAGTATTTTTGCTTGGCATGTATGATTTTTGTAAAATGAGCCAAGTATTTTTTCTTATATTATACACAAGGTTTTCAGATTTCTTGAGAAATTAAACTATAAAAGACAGAAATATTATTTGCTATTTATACTAAAATAGAGATATTAGTTAATATTTTATTTTATTTATAAAAAACATATTTGAATCGTAACTGTGACTAAAATTTCTTAGCCAATAAGTTTTTTATAGCTTGCATCAATGTTTTTTCTTATCAGTGTCTAGCGATAGTCAGTCTGCATACTTGGATTCAGTTGTCCATGGTAATGCTTTTTTTTGTGACAATGTCTTGGTGAAACCTTTCACCGTGTTCATCACTAATGTCATCAAGGTTGGGCAGGAAGAAATCTAAGTGAGAATGGAGGAAATGGATCTTCAATGACATGTTACATTATATTACTTTATAAGTTTGAAGTACTAGTTGTTTGTAGTTTGGAGTGTTCTTATTTCCCAAGAAAGTTTTGTTAACAGCTTTGAAGACATTCCATGCAGCATTTTCAGTTTCATTCAGAGCTTCATTGAAGTCACTATCATTCATTACTTCTCTGATTTGTGGGCCAACAAAAACACCTTTCTTTTTGTCAGAAATTTTTGTTTCAGATACAGAAATCCTTCACCATTTGATGTGATGTGGTGGCAAGTAGATAATCTTTGGATCAACTAATGGATGATAATTAACATTTATCTGCTCAGGAATCAAACTCTGATGATGTGGCCAGTCTTTTATGGTATTGTGGGAATTCTCAGTGTGTAACAGCACAGCCTTTAAACTTAATTTTAATGGGTCAATAAAGAGTCACCATTCAAAGTGGTTATGTTCCAGACCCAGAGCCATCGTAACATAACGTTTTGGGACAACATGGGATCTATTGGTCCATCTCTGCTGTTCCATCCTCTAAACTGAACTAAAACTATTAATAATTAAATTAGAAAAAAAATCTTAAAAGCCAGCCTTATCATTCATATACTTATCAAGCTTTCTCTTAAACTCACTTAAATTTACTACCTCCACAACATCCAAAGGCAACCCATTCCAAAGGCCAACCACCCTGTTAGAAAAATAAAACTGTCTCAGCTGAAGATGACTCCTACCCTGCCAAAATTTATATTTATGTCCCCTAGACCTACTATTCTCACTGTTAAATATGAAAAAAAAATGATGCATCAACACTGTCAATTCTCATTACAATATGAAACACCTCAATCAAATCCCCCATAACTCTTCTTTTTTCAACAGAAAACAACTTGAGAGATTTCAGTCTCTCGTATGACAACCTTTCCATCCTAGACACCATTCTAGTATCCCTTCTCTGAACCCTTTCCAACAATTCAATGTCTTTCCTAAGGTAAGGAGCCCAAGACATAATATTT